GATGTTTTGAAACTTTCACTGTCTCTCAGTGGTGCTTGTATGTCCCAGAGAGTGCAGTATTACAATGTGACCTCCAGGCCTGCTTAGGAAACCATGGGGGCTTAATGATTCTGCGTGGCAACATCAGCTTAGCCAAGGCATCCCACCTGTGAGATGGTGGGAACTCTTGCTTCGGGAGCAGGAATCAGGGCAGCAGATGGCACAACGTGGAAGCCCAGGTGGGGTCATTGTTCAGCAGCCGTCTGAGTCGAGTTTGGTTAATTTGTCACCACTCTCATTATCCCTAGCAACAGGATTGGCGACTTCGTTTGCCAGGATTAGGTTCATATCTCGTAAGCAAACTGTCAACAGAAGCCCATCTGTGGTCCTGGGCGAGACTTGTTGAAAATCTGCAGCAGGGTAAATCTCCACGGGGAAGAGCCTTTCCAAGGTGGGAAATGAGTTCACCAGGCACTGCTCCGTGGTGCAGGTCTTCTCAGATTACTGGTAGACGCCAAGTCCTTTCCTTCCTTCTCTCCAAGATCGCTGCCTCGCCAAAGGACTGCTTTAAACAAAAAGTTATCTTTTTACACTGCTTAGATCTATTCAACTAAATGAGCAAAGCAAAGACTGCTCAGAATCGTGTTCTTGTGGCTGTCTCAAATTCACAGGCTCAAGGCTCTGTATGGGTCCAAGGGGATAAGGTCTGCAGTAATGGCTTATATGGGAATGATGGTGGCGACCCAAAGCCATCCCACAGATTTTAGGCTGCCTTGCTATATTCAGGCTTTTTTTTCCCCCAGTGGAGAGCTGAATATTGGCAAGGACTGTTATTTACTCAAGGTGAACAGCAAATATCTCCTCATAAACTGACTTTTTCATCTTCTTTTTTCTCCTTCAATACCCTCCTCCCCCCGCTAAGACCTGTTTTTGCTCTGTTTGGCTAAGATTTGGGGCCCAAGTGCCCATACAGTAGCTGTTGGGGTACCCTAGACATTGCCAATGTGGAGAATGCCAATAAAACATGTAATGTGGACACAGATAACCCATCAATGGAATTTCCAGTTATTTCTTACTCGGATAATTTGATGGGTCTGCAATTGCATGCACGTCATTGGTCAGTGCCCCCTCAGGGTCCCCGGGTCTTGTCTCTTGCCCTGTGGTTGCACCATTAGCATCCCTGGGCTTTTCCAACTGATTGGCCCGTGAACATTCCGACATCTCCCCTCCCCCAACCAGAATGTGAACACCTAGAGAGATATTTCTATCCCCAGGGCTTGCAGGCACAGAGTAGGTATTTAATAAAATGATTTCTCTTCTTTATTTTCCAGTGGTTATTCCCTTCAGCTAGGCAGATTACAACCATTGCAAGCCTTCTTAAGCTGTGAGACAGACTTTTGCCCGTGATCTCTAATAAAGCCTCCTCAGGGGATCAGCTCAGAATGCTACCTCTAGGTCTCTTGACATTACCTGGACACTAGTGGAGTGCTCAGGCTGCCCAGTGGTTATCCTGCTCATGGCCAACCAACCTGCCACCTTTTCTGGTCTGACATCCCTATGGTGCATCCGTGTTGGTTTGCAATGCTTGCTTAATGTTATGTTTTAAGCCACACACACCTGAATGTCTCTCTGTTGGCCTTTGGGTGACCCCAGGCCCTTTATGTTCATAGCTGTCGTCTAGCCCCTCCACGAAAGGCTTACCCTCATGCCTCACTGTGTCACTGAGGTGAACCTATGTTTTCAAAGGCTGTTGCAAGAGAGGACATATTGTAGAGGTTCTGCCAAATGGAATGGTCTTTGAGCATGGTCTCAGCAGCAGATTCTGTCTGCTCCCTGAGAGCCAGCCTAGCACTCATTTAAGGTTACAGTTGCAGTACTAGTAGTCTGGCCAAAGATAAGTTCCCTCTGTGCTCCCTCATGGCCCTCCATCTCTGTGCCTGTGCTTGGCTATCTCTCCTGCCTGGCATGCACTCCCTCCTCCTCTCCAATAACCTGTCTCTACCTTTAAGATTCGCCTCGGGCGCCATCTTCTGCAAGAAGCCTTTCTCCAGCCTTCCAACTGCTTGTACCTTTCTTCTCAAAGAACCTTGTGCTTCATAACTTTGTATCTATTTGTATTTATTAACTATATATTTTTTTATCAAATATAGATACATTTATTTTATAACGCAATACCGTAGGCACGAGTGTCATTCTTTGTATTTGTATCTTCAGCACCTTGTATAGTGCCTGGCACCTGGGAGGGGCAGGAAAAAGTGAGATAGTACTTAAGGACTGGGTGGGGCTTAAGTAGATAATGCTTAATAAAGTGGGTGGTATTTAAGTGAGTAGGTAAACATCTTGCTGATTGAATTCTTTGGCAGTAGAGCAGATATAAGTACAAAATGTAGCCCTTCCCCTTCTATAGTGAGAGTTGTAGATTGGCAGAAAAGGGGTCAGAGGATGCTAGGAATGTCTGTTTCTAGACTATATACATACACACACACACTTATACGTATATGTGTGTGTATACAAACACACACATATATGTATGTATGTGTATATATGCATACACATATCTATCTTATCTGTTGATCGTTTGGTCCTCTAAATGTGAAAACCTTGTCAACGACAAATGAGGTGACAACTGAACTATGTCTGTGTGTTGCTAAAGGCCACCACGTTAGGGAGAATTTCATAAAGGATTTATGGTGGGATGAGAAGATGTGGCAGGCTGGGATCTTCACTACTGAGGAATCATAGACGTCACAAGTCCAGGCTGGCAGAGACCCTGGAGGCCATCTCGTCTCTCCTCCTCATTTTAGAGATGAGAAAATGAGGCTTCTGAGTGTTGGTTGCTCTTCATTTTCGAAGAGGACCGATGACATCATGGCTGACGCCTTGACTTGCGTGTGGATTGGCTCTAAGTGAGGCAGACCTGAACAGTGTGCTCAGCCCCACTCTCTCTTCCAGAGTCACCCAAGTCCAGTGGCGGGACAAAAGTCAAGATGAATGGCAAAGGTCCAGGAGGCCCTGGATGACCTCCGTGTCTTTAATGTCTAACCAAGCTCTAAGCTCTCCCCAGCCCCTGCTTCAGCCGCCTTCACGGCCATTGGAACAAGCTGTTCTTGTCTTCCCATTACGAATCTCCCTCCCTCCCCAATGGGTTGGAGGCTTGTCGGTTACCCTCAATCTGGTTTAGCCCATCCGCTGGGATGGTTTTAGCAGTGTGTAATCACTGTGCGTGCTAAGGTGAGAGCTGGGTGACAGGTGGGCGCCAACCCTCAAAAGGATTGGGCAGCCTCCCACCAGAGCTGCTCATCCTCTCTGAACAAACCATCCACTTCTATCCTTTTAATACCACCTTAAAATGTTTCCTTTAAAAACTTAACTGAGTTAGGGAACTAAGTTGATATTCAGCCAATAAATGCGTTGGAAAACCTGTGATCTCTTAAGCTATATAAAATAGAAGCAGTATTTATCCAACACTTCAGGACACCCCTAGAGCCCCTTGGGGATCCATGACTAGCCCTTCCTCCAGTGCAAGTAGGGGTTAGGATGGTCATCGCACAGCACTATCTGCCGTAGATTTAAAACAATTAAACTTTTTTTTAATACTGGGTCTCCCTATCTTGCCCAGGCTGGAAAGGGTCGAGGTACTTCTGGTCCCAATCTCACTGTGATTGGCCCAAGAGGTTTGACCTGCCTAATTTTCTCCCCTGGGCCAGTCTGTTCCTCCTCAGGCAACCTGGTGGAGTCCCATGTCTAGGGCTCGCCACATTTCATGCTAAGCTTGAAGCTGTGGCCACATTGATCTGACCCGCTGCAGCTCAAAGCTCCCAAACTGAAAAGATCTTTCAGTCTCAGCCTCCAAGTAGCTGGGATTATAGGCACACACCACTATGACCTACATTTTGATGTAGAGTTTTGCCAGAAATTGCCAGAGTCCCACGGTCTAGAGCTGGAAGAATTCTCTTTTCCTTTTTTGAAAGTTAGGACAACGTTGGTTCAACTGGAATTTTCTGTCACCTCCCCCATTGGCCGAGGTTTTTCAAAGGTCACCAACTGTAGCAACTGTATTTACAAGTTCTTAATTCTCCTGGGCCATAGTTTATCTGAGCCTGGTGACTTGAGGGCAGCCAGGAACCTCCTCCTCCTCTCCTGGCTTTTCTTCCCTGTTCCTACTGAAGATTATTCTTCTTGTAGAGAAAACAGAGCCCAAATGAAAGTGGAATAGTTTCATTTTTCTGTGACCTGTTATCATTGCTCTTTGCACCCTGAATAATGACTCCTCCATTCCTTGGGGTTTTTTGTCCCTTAGCTATGTTTGGCAATAAGTACTTAAATACTTGTTGAGCTGAATAGACTTTATTTTTCTTAAAGCCCTCTTTTTTCAGTAAGCAATTGAAAATTCTGCTCTAGTCTGGAGGTTCAAAATGTAACATATATTACAGTGTATATATTTTTATGCATATATAATATATGTCATAGTATAATAATATGTTATACTATATTGATATAGCAAGATAATATATTACACAAAATATAATATATTGCAACAGTACCCCACAAGTTATGTCATTATATATTTCATTATACTGTATGTTATATTAGTATCATGCATTATTATACTATATTATCATACATATATTGTTATAATATAGTATGACATGCAATATATTATATATTATGTTATAATGCATATTATACTGTGTTATGTCATAACATAGTATAATACATTTTATACTGTAATATAGTGTAATAATATGATATATAATATACATATCCACACATGCACACACATTTTTAAATATAGTTCAGAAGCAGAGTAGGTGATTTTTAAACTGTGGGAATAAATGAAATCACAAGAGTAGAGAGAAAATGGGGGCAGCTAGGTGGAGCAGCACCTGCCCTGAAGTCAGGAGGACCTGAGTTCAAATCCAGCCTCAGACCAAACACTTGACACTTACTAGCTGTGTGACCCTGGGCAAGTCACTTAACCCCAATTGCCTAAAGAAAGAGAGAGAGAGAGAGAGAGAGAGAGAGAGAGAGAGAGAGAGAGAGAGAATGAAAGAATTCCTACAGAACCTATAGAGATGGGCACCAGAAGCTGAAGGTGAATCAACGGAAAAGATCCAAGAGGATTGGTCAGAAAGGTCGGAGGACAACCAGTGACCGGTGTCACAAAATCTGAAAGAGGGGAGAGCTTCTGGCAGAGGAGTTGGGGGGTGGCTGATGTTAAAGGCTTCAGAAAAGCCCAGGTCAATGAGGGCAGTGAGGAGGCTGTTGATGTCCGGTTGGTTGGGAAGCTCAGGGATGAGGGCAGATGCTCCATGGCAAGGGGCCGAGGCCCTAGTGAGTGGGTGGGCTGGTGGGGATGGGGGGGAGAGTTGGAGGTTACAGGAAGAGACCCCTTTTAGGAAGTCTGGCAATGAAAGAAAGGCCACAAGAGCCTTGTTCGAGGTGGCCGGCGAGTTTCCTGCCGAATGCGCTTCGTTTCATTTTCTCCTGGGGGGTTTCCTGTGTTTTCCAGCTCTGTTCGGATCATCGCCAGCAGCAGCAACATCTGGGTTCTCCTTGCTGCAGGGAACTCAGATGAACTGGTAGCTCTTAGCGAACTGGCCCAGAGAGGGAGGAAGGGAGGTCAGGGTGGGGGAGGAGCGGCCTCTTTCAGGCTCGAACAGCTGGTCAGCATGTTATGTTTCCGAAGGTTTGAGCTGACGTCAAATAAAGCCGATGGGCTGCAGATTGGCCGGGGTGGGGGTGGGGGGCGGCCAATAAAGCTGGCCCCTCCCACTTCCCCTGACTGTCGCCCGCCCCCACCCCTTCGCCAGAATGCTGGAGATCATTAGGAACCCAGAGTTGTCATCTGATCTCCATCTGGCCGCCGTCACTACAGCTGCCTTTGATCGCTTGCCAAAAGTGTACGGGTAAGCGTCTCCTCTTTCTCACAGATTTCTGCTTGTAATCCTTACGTTTGTAATTTTCTGGGCTGCTGCAAGTAATTCCCTTTTTGTGTGGATCTCAGGAATGCTCCCAGGGATCATGGAAAGGACCCACTAGGCTGTTTGACACACCACCTTTTCTGTACACTGGATTTGATTGAAATTACTGCTGATTTCCATAGTGCTGAACTTTGAAGTTTGATGTGGTTTGAAATTCTGGTATGTTTATGAGCATCACACAGGGTAGGATGCTTTCATTTGTTGTGTTTTTTTGGGGGGGGGTGTTTTCTTTCTTTTTATTCACTAACTTTTAAAATTTTTGTTGGTGTCCTTTGCTTCTTACACTATAATTATTTCCCCCAAGTGGCCCTTCGATTTTGGAACTCTTGGAACATTTAAGCACACAGTTCAACAAAATGATCATCATATACAACATTCTGCTCCTGTCATTCCCACCTTTCCATGGAGTCAACAAACATTTACCAAGTTCCTACTACACATCAGGCATTCTGTTAAACGCTGGGCTTACAAAGAAAGGCAGGAACCGTCCCCTGCCCTCAAGGTGCTCCCAATCTAATGGGGAGACAAAATGCAAACAACTATGTGTGTACAAACAACACAGGATAAATTGGAGATGGTCTGCAAAGATCCTAGCACCAAGGATGACAGAGGAAGGCTTTCTACAGAAGTCAAGATTTCAGCTAAGACTGCTTTATCATCTCTTCTCCAGAACCTAGTCCTGGTCATACTCATTCATCTGAGTTCAACTGCCTTTTAGAGTTTTTCTCCCCTGCATGACTGTAGTCATTCTGTTAACTGTTATCCTAGTGCTTTATTTTGCTCTGCATCAGTTCACACAACTCTTCTCATGCTTCTCTGAATTTCACATGTTGTTTCTTAAGGGAAGAGAATGTTCCATTGCATTCTTAAACCATGATTTGTACAGCCATTGTCCAATTAATGGGCATTCACTTCATTTCCTGTTTTTCACTACCACACAAAAAGTGTTGCCATGAATATTATGGTGCATATATAGTACTCTTCTTTCTTTCTTTGATATCATTAGGGACTATACCCAGTAGTGGAAATATCTGAGTCAATAACTGTGGGAAGTTTTGTGACCTTTCTTGCATAATTTCAAGTTTATTTACTTGTTTTTCCAGAAGGGTTAGGTCAACTCATGGCATAGTATATTAGCACTTTACATTACTTTTTAAACATTTCACTGATGTCTTTTGTTTTGACATCACTTTCACTTCCAAATACATTTCTCCTGTTATGCTCTCCAGTGAACTATCAAGAATTAGAAAGAGGAGAAAACATCAGCAAACTCAGCCATTGAGTCTGACAGTGCTGTATGTAGAATGTTTCGCAAGCATGGTGGCCTGCCACTAGGAAGGAGGGGAGGACGTAAGATGTCTCACTTCTTGTTCAGGGTGAAGTCATCATTAAAAGTTGCCCTGTGTGAAGTTTTGGGTTTTTGTTCTTCCTGTTTGAACTTGTTTTCTTTTTTTTTCTTTTTTTTTTTTGGTGAGGGCAATTGGAGTTAAATGATTTGCCCAGAGTCACACAGCTAGTGAGCGTTATGTGTCTGGGGCCACATTTGAACTCAGGTCCTCTTGACACCAGGGCCGGTTATCTATCTACTGTGCCACCTAGCTGCCCCTTTGACCTTGTTTTCTTGGTAATGTTGTTTGCACTTTGCATCAGTTCATATAGGTCTTTCCGTGCTTCTCTGAATTCTTCATATCCATTGCCTCTTAAGATGAAGGAAAATTCCTTCACGTTCATATGTCACAGTTTGTTTAGCTATTTTCCAATCAGTGGACACATAATCTATTTCCAGTTCTTTGCTCCCACAAAAGCTATGAATATTTTGGTGTCTATAGGACTGTCCTTTCTATTTTCGACCTTGTTGGGGCATATGCCCATTAGTAAAATGTCTGAGTCAAGGAGTATGGAGAATTTAGTCATCTTTCTTGCATGTTTTCAATTTGTTTTCCAGAAGGGGTGGACCAGTTCACAGCACAGCATATTCATGCCTCACATCGATTCTTTCAAGGATTCTCGTGAAAAAGAATTCCTCATATTTGTTGTTTCTTATGTTACTATAATATGCCATTACATTCTCATGCATAGTTTGTTCGCCCATGAGCCTCGACTTCTTTTATCTGGTTCTTTTGTTAACTCAAAATCAAAATGTTACATGAACACTTTTAACAAGGAAAGCCTACGGTTGTGGGGCTTGTGATTGCTGAGGGATTAAGGAGTTTCATGGCTATGGAAATCACACCAGCGTGTCTATTCATGCCACACAGAAATAGTGGTGCCAATTAAGTTACTGTGTGCAGTAAATTGGTTCTTTACACTCTAACACGCAAAAGTGATTTTTATGACAGCTAAATTACATGAGAAAAAGAAATTAATTTTGAATTCCCATTAAATATTTCAGCCATTAAAATGTTCTCAGCTAAAGCCACTATTAGCTTTAAGTACCATCTGTAAAGATCAATTATCCCAGTGGGTCCTAGTGGACTGAGCTGCAGTACTCAACACAGAGGGTGATGCTCATTCCAATCTAAGCCTTAATAAATGTTTGCTGATGATTATGATCATGCCCTCCACTGAGCCTGGGATTTCATCTCTCGATGTTCCTCAAATGGTGCCCATCATCGCTCATCCATGCCTGCCCCATCGTATGACTTTGACCACATGCTTTCTTGAGTTCAGTGATGGGAGTCCATGTGAGGGACTGGACACCATCCTTGCTTTCTCTGGGCATCTGTGTATAATGATGTACAGAATTTCTAAATGTTTGGAAGCAGATTCAGGAGGCAGATTAACAAGCTGCCAAAGAAGAGCCTCGTTATAGTGGGGAGGGCACACCATGATCCTAGGTTCTTGGCATTGAGGCAGATCAGAGCATAGGCTCTGGAGTGTTTGACCAATCTAGAAAGGTTCGGAATGCCCTTTAATGTTCCACAGTGAATCAGGGAGCTCATTGAGGTGGGCATTTCCTCCAGTAATTCCGAGCACACTCCATCTATTCCTTCCCTATTCTGTGTAGCTCTTGTCAACATTCTTTCTGCAAAGGAGAATGATATAAAGTCAAGGGAAAATATGAAAACCAAACCAAACCAAAATGGCTAAGAAAGGGTTGAAACCCAAACGGAGAGGGAAGATTTGTGAGCTCTGGTCAATCAATCAACATTTTTTAAGTGGCCACTATGTGCCAGGCACAATGCTAGGTTCCAGGGACATAAATATAAAAATGAGACAACTTTGACTCCCCAGGAGCTGAAATTTCAACAAAGTTAAAGTAACCAGGTCCAGAAGGACAGCCCAAGCCCCTGAAATGACTGGGAAATGTGACTACTGAGCCCCTGTCAGAGACATCTGAAACACTGTGGCAGACAGGAGAGGTGCTGCCAGGCAGAAGAGCAAATGGCCTTTTTTAAAAAAGGGAGTAGAGTGAAAGCGGCAAACTCTAGGCCTGTGAGCTTGACCTGGATTCCTGGTAAACTTCCAAAATGTATTTTTAAAGAGGTCATTAATGAACATCTAGAAAAGGAAGTGGTGATCACAGAGAGCCAGCACGGCTTCAGGAGAAGAGGTCATGCTGGGCCAACCTCATTTCCCTTTTGGACAGGGATATTGGGCTGGTAGTGCAGCAGAAAATATCATTTACCTCGAGTTCAGCAAGCATTGGATGAAGCCTGGGCCAAGATGGAGGGATCGACTAGGTGATCACGCCCTCAGCTCCTCGGTGGGAAGTGGTCAAAGGGCTGGACCCAAAAGTGACAGATTCATGGCTCTGGGTCCTGTAAGGCAGCTTTCTGGGGGCATCTCTCTCCCCTACCCCACCCCTACCCCACCCCCAGGCTGGGCTCATCCCTCTCGCCTTTCACATTTTTTGTTAATAACCCAGATGAAGGGATGGATGATCTGCTGGCACCAAGCTGGGACCTGGATCCCCGTGACTCAGAAAGTCGCAAATAGAAAGGCAGTGTCTGGATTGAGAGAGGTCTCAATAGGCTATTGGATGAATTGTTACAGGGATGAATATAAACTCCTACTCAGGTTTAAATGGTAATATCTAGTATTTATAAAGCGTTTTACACATATTAACTCATTTGCTCCTTAAAACAATCCTGAGAAGAAACTGCTGTTATTAACCCCATTTTAAGAGGAGGAAACTGAGGCACACAGAGATAAAGTGATTTGCTCAGGGTCACTCTAAGGCTGGATTTGAACTTAGATCTCTCTCACTTCAGGTTCATCCTTCTAGCCGCTGTGCCACCTATCTTCTTTTAAAAAAAAATCAGCATTGTGAGGATGAGATGAGAGAGGTATGGCTAGCCAATAGTTCATCTGAAGCAGATCTGGGCGTCTCAGTGGACCACAAGCTCCAGATAACTCACAATTCATCAACCAAGTAAGCTATTGTGATCTTGGGCTGCATCAAGGGAGGTGTAGCATCCTAGACTAAGGAAGTGATTGGTCTATTCAGGCCCGTTTAGGGTAATTATGTTTCCGTCTTGTCCATCAGATTTTAGGAAGGATAGTGATAGCCTGGAGACCCTCTAGAACAGAAATGTCAAACGAAAGGGTTTGTTCCTACCACACTCAAGTGGGGCCTGAACCATATTTAAAATGAAATTAGGAAATGTCTGAACAAATAAATAAAATACAATAATACACAGATAAAGCGACTATGTGATTTTCTAAGTCGGTATCTGGAGAGCAAGGATCCATGTCTACAGTGTAGGCGCCGTCAGACCAGAGGAGGGGGTCTGTAATATCCTGGAAGACTGGCCGAAGGACCTGGGGATGTGTGTGGGTGGCTGGGCTGATAGCTGTCCTTGAGTATTTTTGTTTTGTTTTTATTTTGGAGTGATGGTGGTTAAGTGACTTGCCCAGGGTCACACAAATGGCTAATAAATGTCTGATTTGAACTCAGGTCCTGCCGACTCCAGGGCCGGTGCTCTATCCACTGCGCCATCTAGCTGCCCCTCTGTCCTTGAGGATTTTAAGAGCTTTCATGGGAAAGCGCTCTTCGACTTGTCTCTTTTTCTCCAGAGGGCATAACTAGACATAATGGGTAGAAGGCACAAAGAGGCAGATTTAAGCTTGAAATCAGGAAGCTGAGGTGCAGTGGATAGAGTGTCCAGAAGACCTGAGTTCAAATCCAGCCTCAGACATGTACTAGTAGTGTGACTCTGGGCAAATGGCTTCACCTTTGTCTGCCTCAGTTTCTTCATCTGTAAAACCACCCAGGGTGGATATGAGGATAAAATGAGTTAATATTTGTTGAATGCTTTGCAAACCTTGAAGTGCTATGTAAATGCTAATTGTTATTTTTATTACCAATTAGAATTAGCCCAAAGTAGCGCAGATTGCCTGGGGAGGTAGTGGGTTCCCTCTCGACAGGTCTTCAAGTGAACCCTGAGTGAGCACCTTCTGGAGGTGTGTCATAGACAGCCTTCTCAGGCAGTGTGGGCTAGACTCTGCAGCCCCTCCTGGATCCCAGGTGAATAATAGTTAACATTTACAAAGCACTTGACATCTACTCACTTGATACTCTCAGCAGCCCCAGGAGTTGGGTATTGTAGGCACTATTATGCCCCTTTCACAGATGAGAAGACTGAGGCTCAGAGTCATCAGGTGACCTGCCTGCAGTCACCCAGTTAGTGTCTGAGATGGGATCAGAACCCTGTTGCTCCTAATCTCAGATCAGGCGGTTCCTGCTTCACTACGGCCTCTCAAGAGTCTGTGACATAAGACGAGGTTTCTGGCCTCCAGAAGCTTGTGATGGAGTGGAGAAGATAAACAATGAGGGAACAATGAAATGCCTAGGAGCTTTGTCTGTACTGTAAGGGCGAGGAGACTTTTGAGAGGGGAAGGAGAAGTCTTGGGGTCAGCGCTCTAAGAATCCAGCACCTCATTTTGGTAGAAGGAAGGGCAGGCTGTTCAGTGAGCCTCCACCGTCTGTGTGGGTGGCTACCTCCTATGGGATCTTCTCTTACAGAGCGCTGTGTTAACGAGACCAGGTCAAGGTGGATGCTATGCAGACCATGGACCAAGCAGGCAGTGCACACTCTGTTCTGTGGCTGTGTTCTACCCCAGGGGTTAGCACATTCCAAAGGTGCCTTTCACATGATGTGGAGGGACTAGCCCCAGGAAAAGTTGTGAGCTATGTATTTAACCCCTTTGTCTGTCCCACCCACACCCCTTTCCTCTGTATTCTCCCAACCACCCCCACCCAGGTGTACCTCTGGGGTTCCTGCTTCATCTCTTAAGGTGTCCCAACTAATTGAAATCAAAGGTATTGTTGGAGAACATATTCCTGTTGGAGACTTATTTCCAGAGTTAATCTATGTTCAAGGAGAGCTATAAGGGAATCATTGAGGAAAAGGAGATGGGCCAATTGTGTGGCAACAGTGAGGGGTTAGAGAAAGGGATGGGCCGAGTTTGCCCAAGGAAATACAAGGTATACGCTAAGTGTGTTTTTAGTACACTAAGACTCTTG